CAACCAATAGTTCTATGTTCTTATAAGAAGATAAACGGGGAGTCATGGGGCAGCTGGTGGTGGTGGGGCTCATATCATCGTGGAAAGCAATCACCACAGCGGAGCTGCGAGATGATGAAGGCTTGAATTATGGCAAAGGCTGTGGGAGTGGGGTTGGATGTGGGGCTGGGAGAGTGGGTCAGAATGGCCCAGATTTCATCACTGAGGGGAATGAAGGAGTCACTAGTGACCATCATGGCTCTGACTCAAGTACCTGGGGGATGGGGATGCATTTACTGTGCTGGGGGCCCAGGAGGAGTTGGAGGGAATGTGGGGGAAAAAAGTGACTTCAGTATCTTTTGATTTGGGGATGCCTGTGGGATATCTAAGGGAAGACATCCCAATCCCTGACTTTTTATTTTCTTTTGTCCTGCTTGCAAAATCAGAGAGAAGCAGCATCCTGCCAGGGGCTGTTGCTTTCCCTTTGGTCCCTCTGCTGGGTTTGCTCCAGCCCCTTGCCCTCAGGCAAGAGAGGAGCAGGCAGCTCAATCTGCCGGAGGCTGCAGGGCAGGCTCTTAACACAGCAGGACCCTTCAGACGTTCCCAAACACAATCCCAGGTCTACCACCTGCCAGCATATGTTCACAGAGACGCAGCATCACAAACTCTCCGGACTGGAAGGGACGTTAGAGGTCATCCGTTCCAGCCTCCTGGTTGGCATTCTCAGACCATCCGAATCATTTAAGAGTTCCTTTTCTGAATGCGAGAGACTCTCTTCTGACTTCTCCTTAAATATGCTGTTAAAGACACGGTCCACCAATGCATTTCCTTCCTTGGGAGATGTGCGCGGGGGGCTCACGTTGGTGGGTCCAGCGGGGAGAGGTGCTACAAGGCCAGATTTGAGAACACAGTTCTTTCTGTCCTTCACACTACAGCTATGACGATGGTCTCCATGGTTACGGCAGCTTCTCAGGGGTACCTGGCTGTTCATGTTCTCTATTTCCCTAAATGTCTAATTTATGAATAACCTGTTTAGGTAACCTGCTGGGAAGTTTCTGTATGTATCTGAGAATCAAGACATAGATATATACTCAAAACAACAAAAAAAGAAGGCTGATAGGCATTTTGGGTACATTTTTTTTCTTTTACTAATAACAGAAATTAGGATTGACTTGAAAAATTTCAAGTTAAACAAGATTCAATGAAAGAAACACTGCCTTCATGTTCTTCAAAGGCATGTGAGCCAGAGAGGGGCTGAGCTAACCTAATTATGTTTTCTTTAATGTGAAATAGCTATTTGCCTGACATTCCATTTGCATCTTCCCATCACATTCAAATGGCTGGGACATTGATTTTTTTTTTTCCCCCTAGGGCTCCCTTTGAACATGAAAGTGTTTTTTCCTATTTCCCCCCCCCTGGTGAGAGTAGTGATAAGAACGGATCGATAATTACATTGTTGGATAAAAATGAATATAAATTTTATTGAAAAACAACACCAGCAACAATGTGGGGAAAGCCTACTCAACAGCCACTGGCCCACACAACTCAACACACATGTTATGAAAAGTAATCAGCTCTTAAGATTTCTGGCTACTTCTTTCCAATGAAAAGAAATGATAGACCCCATAGAAACTGATGTGGGACACAGACGCACACACCCCACCCCTGAACACACTACTAACAGCGAACGATGTGGCAATCAATACTGTTCACTTTGTGTTTGTTGGGGACCATCTAGTGTACTTGAAGGATTAACTGGTTTAGAGAGAATTTAGTCCTTCCAGTTAGCCTAGCATCTAAAACCCAGCCTACTGGGAAAACTTCCAGTTTTCAGAGTCCTTTGAGAAGAGGATTTTTCACAAACTTTCTTGGCACCTTGCCGCTCCTGCTTGAAAACAGGAAATAGTTCTTTATGTCTAGCCTAAATCCTTCATGCTTCAGTTAATCTATTTATTTCCTTTTAATCTCCGCAGGCCAGGAGGAGTCTGTCTGGGTGGGGCAGTGCAGCATATGGGGAACTCACAATGACCATAATCAGATTGAAACGGCGTCCAGCTGTGCTGCTGGCACACTGAAAGGAGTTAATTGCCGTTGTGGTTGTAGCCCATTTGCCCCCCACTCCCACACCCTCCCCGACCTTCTGCACCCTTCTGCCTGTGGCCAAAGCCCTGAGTGTGATCAGTCTCGGTCCTTCACCAGCGTAGTAACGAGTGCGGTCAGAGCGGTCATTTCCGGTCCCATATCCAGCGTTTCCATTTCAACACGTGATTTCTCCGGAAAACACCCCCCAGTATTACATGCCGTGTCTTCTCACCCTGCCAGGCAGGCCCCGAGCTCGCCTCACGGCTTGCGCGTGGCAAAGATGTGCTCCGTGTGTACATGAGGAAACACCCAGTGAACTGAACAAAACCTCTCAGTAGCGAATTTCAGATTTTGCCTAAAAACCCGGGCGATCCGCTCGGCCTCGCAGTTTCGCTCGCCGGCAGCTCCACGCTATGGGCACCAGGGGGCGCCCGTGCCATTCCACCAGACGCCGGGACTCGGGTACCAGGAAACAAAGATGGGGATTTGAATAAAAGGCTTCAAAATGCAACCCTGAATTCTATCCTGAGCAGCATGCGTGTAAAAATTCATGAAGATTGGATTTCATTCCATGTATTTTTACTTCGGTGGAAAGAAATTCAGGTGATTTCTGACAGTGCCTACAGCTGTCTTTACAAGGTGGGGGGGCGGGGAGGTTAACACAGAGGGAGGGGTTCCCGGTTGCTCTGCAGACCTTTGGAGAGGTTGGGCCTGGTCTTTCTGGGGCAGCTCCCGTTGTGCCGGGTGGCATCCTCTGCCCGCTCCAGAATGTACTGATTAGTTATATTATTTTTAAAAAGGTACATGTTGTCCTCATCAGGACTAGCCACGGTTCTGGGTCCAGGGAGTCACATGAGTCATAGAAGGCACTTGTTATTTGGATAAAACACAGCACATTTCTTTCAGCCCATAAAATCAAAGGTGTGAAAAAAGGCTGTTTTCAGGGTGTTAGAACTCCCCTTGTTTTCCCGTCGTGGTTACTGCACAGTGGTTCTGCCTTGGGGGCCTTTGTTCGTTTTCCAGGCGTGAGTGACAACAGTGCCAAAGGCTTGGGTGGCAGAGCCTGCCAGGGGGCACCAGACACAGGGCAGGGGAGAGCGCAGACCCCCATGGTGTGCTGCCCTTGTGTTCTAGGGCCTCCCACCTGGTGAGGGCTGGGCATCCCTGTCACATGGCTCAAGGTCAGGTCCAAGTTGGGTGGCAGCGGGGACCTTTGGGGAGGTGATGAAGTTTTGGGAGCCTGGAAATTTAGGCAGGCCTCTTTGGGGGAGGCTGCTGCCACCCACCCTGAGCTCTGAGATGGCAGGGGCAGGACCCCCTTGGTTCCCTCCATTACCACAGCATCTCACATGGAGCCTGGTGCTTATGAAGTGCCCCGTGAACCTCTGCTGAATACACAAATGTGAGGATGATGGCAGGGAGGGAGGCATGGGCGTCTGGCTGGCTTGGCTGTCACTGATCCTGAGGACATGCAGAAGAGTAGTTGAGGGGGAGGGGCACTGGGCAGGGCCAGTTCTCAGGGTGAGGGCACTGAGACTGGAGGGGGGCCGCCACGCTGACAAGCCAAGAGGCAGGGAGACCCGGCAGGGGCTCCTCGTGCTGGGAGGGTGCTGCCATGGCCACACAGGGCCTCTCCCTCCTTCCTTCTCCCCTGCCCTTGCAGGAAGGAGCCAGCCTTGCCGCCGTTGCCACGGCAACATGGGCCTGAGGTGCTGCTGAGGGCCGCTGGGCAGCTGAGGCTCCTAGGGATAGAGAAGGTGGCGTAGAAGGCAGGACCCCAGGGTCATTCATGGCAGAAAAAGGCCGGAAGGGAGATGGGATGCAGACAAGCCCCAAAACAGCTCCCAGAGCAGGTGGAGGTCCCTGTGTGGGCTTTGCTGGTGGGGACCCTTGGGGGTCGGCAGAGCCCTGTTAGCTCATGAGTCTCCTTGGCACTGTGTTATTTGCTCTACTCCCTGCCTGGCCTCCCTGCCCAGGTCTTGATTTAGGGTTATCAACAAGACCCTCCTCCCCCCAAGGGCCTAGCAGCCTCTTGAAGCAACCTGTGCAAGTGCAGGCCAGGGCCTGAAGGAAGCCCAGCCTCTGAGAGGTCCTGGAGGGCCACCGACTCACTAGACTGAGCCGGACTGCGGGCGCTTCTGAGAGCACGGAGTCAGAGGCCTCGCACTCTCACACTCAGGGGATGGGGCTGCTGGGGTGTCCCCCGCCCTCTGGCCCTCCACCCAGGGCACCCAAGAGTGGGCCCTGGGAGCCCCCTCCTGACTCTTCTATCGCCACATTCTCAGTGTTTCTGGGACTGTGGAGCCTCCAGCCAGATGCGGGCTGGCGAGCTTCCTCTTCCTACCTTCCTTCCTCTAGGGCTCTTAAAGAGCAAGAGGCAGCGGGAATGCAGAAGATGGTCAGGCCTGGGGAAAAAAAATGGTAGTCCGACACTCCCTGGGGTCCAGGAATCCGTGAGAGACGCTGAGGCTACCTGAAAGGGGCTCTGTGATTCATTCAGGGTGACTCAGCCTTGTAGACCGGTCTCTCTTGGGCATGGAGGACAATTCTCTCACTGTCGCGTGAAAAGCTTTCTGCCTGGGCAACCTCCCTGCTTTCCCACATCAACCCTATAAAAACAACAAGAGCATTAACACGAGAAGGGGGCATCTGGGCAGTGGTGTATGGTTCACAATACCTTGGATTTACATAGCACCTTTTTCTTCTAAAGGGTCTGTGCCTCCCTCCCCTCGGCCGCGGCCACAGCCAAGTGAAGCCGTGGGATGCCCAACATCCCCGCCTCCGTGGCCGAGTGGAGAGACTGAGGCAGAGGCCTTGAAGTGGTTTCATGCAGGCTCGGCGGCGTCCGGGGCTCTCTGCACCTCCATCAGGCCCTCCCTGGGCAAGTATGGGCTCGGCCCTCTGGGAAGGGGCGGAGGGGGTGGCCGGGGCGCCAGACCTCACTGTGCGTTCACTTTGTACTTCAGGATGTAGGAGTAGAAGTTGTGGTTGGCGTTCTCCAGCACCATGACGTAGATCTCGCGGCAGCCGGCCGTGCTGCAGCTGCCCTCCCAGTAGCCCTCTTGATTCAGGGTCAGGGGCCACGTGTCCTGCCCCTTCACCAGGGCTTTGGCAACCCCGTGGAGCTTCAGTTTGAACGAGACGTCCCGGTTGGCGGGAAGCACGCCTGACAGAGGCTCCAGCAGTTCATTGTCCTGCCCCCAGTTGCCAAAGCTCTCGGGGAACATGGGCCAGTTCACTTTGGTGTTGGTGCAGCACAGGAGGTAATTGAAGACGAAGACGTAGTTGCCTGGCTCCAGCCTCTTCTTGACAAAGATCTTGAGGGCAAACTTGCCCGCCTGGGGCAGCTGGACCTTCAGCTCGGCCCGCTTCTCCCGCTGCAGCTGGAAGATGTAGCGTCGCTGCGTCTCCTCGGTGATGGGGCCTTCGTCCCCGTGCAGGGAAGCCAGGACGCTGATGCCCTCCTCCACGCCGAAGCTGACAGAGCAGCGCCCGTCACTGGTGTGGATGATGGGGTCGGGGTGGGAGGGCTTCACAATGCCCATCTGCTCCGAGAACCAGCTGGGGCCCACGGGCTGGTGAAGCTCGGCCGGCAGCCGGACACTGAGGTCCACGTAGTTGCACTTGAGCGTGTACTCCAGCACCGAGCTGTAGACGTCGGAGTTGCCCTTGGCAAAGATCTGCAGCTTGTGGGTGCCCACCGCCGGAGGGTATATGTCCAGCTTCATCCCGTTCTTCCGGAGGCTCAGCAGCCCATGCTCCTGCTTGCCGTTGAGCATGAACATGAAGAGTGTCGGGGCGCGGCTCTCAATGGTGATGGTGGCCTTCCCGTTCACTGTGGAGAGAGAGCCAGGGTCAGGGGCGGCCCGGGATGTGCCGACGTGCTGCTGCGTGGTTAACACCTGGCTCTCGGGGGAAGAAGCCCTGACTCTAGCATCTGCCCATTTCCACGGTGTAAGTATTTCCAGCACGATGGATTTTAGGTGATCGAGATGATGTCCCCGAACACCGCGTAAGCCACTCGCGGGCTGCAGGTGGTTCTCTCAGGGTGAGCGTCTGGGCAGAAAATCTGCTCCAGCTCTACTTGTTTGACTCACCCAAGTGATTCTGGATTCTCATTAGATGAAAGTGGCCTGGAGGCTTAGCCAGATTCCAGCAGGGGAGAGGGCCCAGGGGCAAGGAGGGCCTGTGACTGCTTGGAGGGGCTCCCTTTGTCTTCTTCCAGTCTTAAGCCTTATTTCACATGCTCCCTCCAGCCTCTGTTCAGTACAGCGGCAGTGTCTGTCAGGTCACACACAGGACCTTCAAACCTGGCTGGGAGGGTTTCATTGCCAGAAGCTGTGCTCGAGGGGCGGAGCTGCCTCCTTGCTCGCCTCACTGCTGCCACCCCAGGACTCTCACTTGGCTGTGGCTTGGTCTATTTCTGGAGGACTTTTGCCTCCCCTCCCCCTCTCCCCTTGCCCTCTGGTTTTGTCTTCCTCTGTCCTGGAACCTGTTTTTCAGGGATAGGTGGTCAGTTCTCCGGCTCTACTGACCATGGGCACTCCCCTACCTGGTCCTCCCTGCCTTGCAGGACCATAGGGAGGGGCTGTGGCTCCTTGCAGAGCCTCAATCCTCTTCTTCTCTGAAGCCCCACACCTGTGCCTTGTCCCAGCAACCTCCCCAGCCCCAGTCGGGTTCACAGGTGAGTGCAAAGGAAGGGGACAGACTACCGTCAGAGCCACTCTCACCAGGAATCTTTTCCCAGTCTGAGGTCTAACGCTTTTGCTGGAGAGGCCATGCCTGGGCTCTAGAACAAGTACCTCCAAGACTTCCCCTTTAATCTGCCCCAAGGCCCTGACTCCAGGCTGCTCTGCTCCTGAATTCAGTTCTAATTCCCAACTAGCCAGTGAGAATCCCCAAGTGGCCGCAAGAAAAGGATGGGCGCTCACTGGCTGGCTCCCTTCTGTTTCTTCACGGACTTCTTCATCTGGAAACTTTTCCCGGCCTTCCCTTGCAGAGAACCCCTCCCCACTGCAGTCCCCTTCCTCCCACGTAACTCATCTGGCCTCTGTCCCCACTTTCCAAAGACTTCGGTGACTTCCTTGGAGCCTCTGGGCTGCTGGCCCACCCTCCTGGCCGCACTCTTCTCCTCTCGCAGCCCCTGCCCGCTCCAGCCCCATCCGGCCACCGCTGCCCATTCCCTCTGCCGACGTTCCTTCCCTCTCTGCCAAACTGCTTGTGGGGTGCTTTGGGCTATCTTCTTTGTCCACTTTCTTTCTCCACTGCCTCCAGCCACTATGGAACATCTGTCCTATGGTAACCTCCAAAGGAACGTGCCCCAGAGCAACAGACCTGTTACCAGTCTCTCTTTGTTGAATCTCTCCTCTCCCCTTGCTTCCTCTTATAGGCCAGCTCAGTGCGCAGAGGCTGTCTCAGCCTTCAACAGCTTGTGGCCCCGCCCTGTTCCATCTTGCTTAGGAGTTGGCTGTGAGATGGCACAGAACTCACCTTTGATGTGGAGTCCCACCCGAGGGCCCCTGGCAAATTAGCTACCTGGTCACTCCTGCGTTCGCTTGCGTGAGTCACCATCAAACTGGAGACCAGTGAGAGTCCTGTCCCCTCCTGCCTAGCCTGAGTCAGGACCTCCTTTTCGGGACCACAGCGCATTCTCCTGCCTCCTCCAGGGTACACATCCCAGAGCCCTCACACCTGTACTTCCCTCCACCCTTTTTCCCCAAACCAGATAAGACCTTAGCACAACGTCTGACTATAGCCTTTTCCTGAGCCTTCAGTAAGGTCCAGCTCCCCTGGAGGCCTTTCTTGCCGCTCCACATCCCCTTCAGGAACCTTAGCATTGTTGTACTGAATTAGTTCCTGCGATGTCTATCTTCTCCATAGGGATGAGCGCTGCGGGGAATTGGCTTCCTGCCTCCTTTCCTGTGTGTCCCAGGCCTCACCAGGGTGCCTGGGCCAGCAGATACTCGGCAAAGGATTGCGGAATGGCTGGAAGACTTGAAAGAAGGACTGGCGGCCCTAGGGACTCTGTGGGAGCCTGTGACCTCTCCTGCATTCCTTCTCTTCTCCCTCCACCTCCCCTTACCCCTGTTGCTGGCATCCCGCCCCCCACTTCCCCTGTCCTCTTCCTTCCTTGCTTTTCACCCACCTGTTTCTCTCTCCTGCTTTCTTCTCTTCCCCACTCTTAACAAAACTAGCTCCAACAAAGAAATAGTCCTTAAATATGCATCACGAATATGGGATCAAATTTGAGATTACTGTATATTAAGAAACCCAGTATTTACATTTCTGTGTCTCTTGCCAAGGCAAGTTCTACTCAGTGGCATTAATTTGACTTTGGTGTGGCCTGGTCCATTCTTCCCTGTGGTTGCATGGCCCACACCAGTCAGAACAGGCTCCCCATCTGATCTGTGCCCAGAAAACGTGTTCTTGAAGACAGCAATCTCACACTGTCATTTTAACAGCAGAAGCCTCCAGATATTTGTAGTTTTAGAAGAATATTCGAGAGCTCAGCAAACTGGTTAAGGAAAGCATTGTGAGGCAAAAGGAAGAAATCAGCTGGAAGTAACTTGGGGACACCTGTGCTCCCCGTGCCCCTGTACCTCTACATGGGGGATGGGGCTCACCAGCAGACCCGCCCACAGATCTCTCCGTGCTAACAGCCAGTGCCAGCTCAGGCCCTCCCTCCTGGGAGTATGAAGACCCCCTACTCTCCGAGATGGTGCCAACAGGCAGGACTTTCCTGAAATGTGGGGGTGTGTGTGGGTGGGCTTGGGGGGGGTAGGTGCACCGACTAGGCTGTGGTGAGCCCTGTAGTGTGTCCAGGTTATGTGCCCGGCCCTGGACCAGGCACCAGGGTCTTCGACGTACATAAGACAAAGGTCATGAGGCTCGTGACCACAGTTCTGTACCCTCTCCCTCACAGCTGCCCCCCCAAACCTCACAGTGCCCAAACACACCTGGCTGGGTGCCTGTGGCCCCTGTGGGGATGTGGGGAGCAAAGGTCAGTCTAAGCCAGCCACGGGGACAGCTCAGCTATGGGTCCTGCCCTTCCTACTCCCAGGGAAGTTGGGAGGAAAAGGCTGGACTCTGCCTCCAGGAGGGAAGCTGGCAGAGACAACAGGCATCTGAGCTTGTCAAGGGAAGGACAGAGAGGAAGGCAGGCTGTGCCCCTGGAGCCAGCCCTGGTCTGGGGTGCTTGAGTTCAGGCGTTGGAGGGCTTGCTGTGTCCTTCCAGAGCGTGTCTGTCCCTGCGTGTGGTGATGCCTGCTCTCTTCCAGATCCTAAGGTCCCGCTCAGCAGCTACTCCCTGATAAAGCCTCCCCCAGTCCTCTGTCCTGGGAGACCCCCGCTGCTCTCCCACTCCCTGCTTGGACCGCCGACACACAGAGCCCAGCTTGGCTGAGTCAACATGTCCTCTTGGTCAGGAGTTCGGGAGAACACAGCAGGCTAGTGAGCTTCTGTCAGGGATCCGAACTGGGAGGTGGGGACAGCAAGGCCTGAGGTGATCCTTTACCTGCTACAGGAACTGAGAGAGACTCACCCAGCTGGGGACCCTCTGTTCCTGGCTCCCTGACAGGCCGGGCTGTAATTGGGGTCCTAAGGCCTAGGGAAACCCAAGCATTTCCTATGCAGCTGCTTTTTGGTTTATGCTGCCATGAGGAGGTGTCTGTCCCTGCAAATGTGACCTACGGCTGTGTCCTCCCCCGAGGGCCCGATGGCCTTGGCTGCCTTAGTGGGCATCTGCACATACACACAGCTTACAGGGAGCTCCCAGGCCCCGGCTGGGTCCCCTGGGTGCCCAGATGCCTGAGGGGCAGAGCTGGCTTCCCGTCCCTGCTGCCAATGTGGCAGCCACCAGCTTTGGGCTTACCTGTTCTGAGGACAGAAGTCTCTGGGTGGGCGCTCAGCATCCCCTTGTTGTAGAATTCACTCTTGTGATACATGTTGCTTTCAAACTGCCTCAGGGATTGAGGTGGCTTTAGCAGTTGCCAGTTCTTGTTGTCTGGGAAGTGGTCCTCGATGAACAGCGCAGGGTGGGTGAGGAAGTAGAATTCATTGTAGCTAGAGGTGGGGGGGAAAGCTGGTCAGTAGTCATGGGGGTAGGTAGGCCTCAGCTCTGTGGAGAAGGAGGTGGGGGCTCGCAGGGGGACATTTGGGGCCTTCTTTTGTCTAGCACCTCCACAGGAGGGGTCCTGCCAACAACCCAATGGGGAGAGGCACTATCTCCAGTCTTATCACAGGCACAGCAGATGGCCCCTCCATGGCTGCTTGCAGAAATAGGGGCCATGGCAGGAAGGCCTACTCCAGGTGGAGCGGTGTCCAGGTGGGGAATGGGTTCTGCCTACTCTCAAAGCCCAGTAGAGATTTGAGGGAGCAAAGGCATAACCCAGGCACCCGGTGTCAGCCAGCATGATGGAGGGAGGGCAGGCAGCGGAGGTGCTGGGTGAGCAGCCCTCTTGGGATCCCTGGGCCCAGTGAGACACGGCTCTCTAGCGGTCAGTGATGGAGATCAAGAGAAGAATAGGGAGACTCCTCTGAGCTAAAGCTTCATGCGTAGCTTGTGTTTGGCTTGTGTGCCGGCCTGTCGAGATTTAAACTGCAAAAATCATAGACAACGCTCTCATTTTTCTAGATAAAAAAGAATCCGAGTCGCTGAGAGATGTCATGATCCCGGGTGGATGTCATGGCTGTAGGGTAAAACCGGAGTTGGCCAGAACCTTGGAGAAGAGACGTGCTGCAGTGCCCTGCGGCCCAGCACCCTGCCCCACCGTGGCTCACAGGGACTCTGTGCACCCACAGCACCCCTTCCCACAAACAGAACCCCTTCCTCAGTGGTGTGATGTAGCTGCACTGGGCCCAGAGAAGTGGAGGAAGGGAATTCTGACTTTCCTGTGTCGTAACACAGCCAGTGGGTCCAAGGCCTGAAGGGAATCTGCGGACGGTGAAGCAGCTCTCAACTTTCCTTCCGCTCTTGTGTGGCCGGTGGGCAGATGCGGGGCTTTCAGCCCTTGGGCCAAGGTAGCGATGGGGAGCCAGAGGAGGGCTTTAGGCAGTGGACGGTGAGGGGACAGAAAGATCCAGCTCTTCCTACTGGCTTGGACCTAGCACACTACAGAGCTGGAGGAAGCCTGGGAGTGGCCAGCAGCAAGGAGAGGTGCCTTTGGCCCTCCCGGCCCTCCCGGCCCTCCCACTTCCTTCAACCTCGTGCCTCCCCGCTTTCCACCAGCTGGACACCCAACAGCCCTGAGATTTCTACTTACAGGAAGGTGAATTTGGAGGTGCTAGAATCCACCAGGCCACTGCCCCAGGTGCTGTCCACCAGGTGCCATCTCCCCTCCAGGTACACAGCATTCCAGGCATGGTCAAACTCCCCCGAGAAGCTCTGCCCCGTCTGGTAGCCAAAGCCCTTGGAGTAGCCAGGCACAGTCACGCACTGCACTCCAGCGATCCTGGGGGTGGGACGGGGGTCTGAGAGGTGGCTTCTGCTGGGGTTGCCGGACCCCTGCAAATCTGTCTATGGCCCCAGGCCTCAGGCAAGTCTGCTGTCAGTCCCTCTGTGTCTCTCCTTTTCCTTCCCTTTCACACAGTCCCATACAGACAGCCTGAGGGCTGTTATTTCCAGGACTAGGAGACAGGGGACACAGGGCTGGTCCTACTGGCGCAGACTGGCTTCAGTCCCCACCGCCCACTCCTCCCTAGAGAATGAGCAAATCACTTTAGAAACATCTTTCCCCAGATCGAAGCCGCCTGAGTGCTCCACCTGAGGTCTTCAGGAGGACAATGGGTGCAGAGGTGAGGACCCCCCCAAGAACATGGAAACCAGGGAAAGGATGATGTTTTTGAAGGATCAGAAAAGCTCGAAACACGTGGCTGAGGAGTTGGGTCTGGGTGACAGGGATAGGGTGTCAGGGAGGGGTGAGGGATGAGGGTACAGAAGAAAGCTGAGCCCTACTCTCTCCATGACATCATGCTTTAGTACACCTGTGTTAAGACAGCCAGGGCAGGCCAGCCAGTATATCCAGCCCTGCCCAGGGCAGACAGGCCCATGGCTAAGATCACTCAGGTCCACCTGCCAGGGCTACCACAGTGCGTTCAGGTCATATGCTGACTGACTGTCCTGGACACAGTTTCAGTGTCCCCCATAGATGTCCTTTGAGGGGTGGAAACGTTGGTCCTTCGGCCTGAGTTGTCTAGCCCTCTCGACTGTGCTCCTCCATGGCTTACAAGCACTCTGGCACCACTTCGGGTGGCCGGGAGAGTGAGGGATGGATGGCGGTCACCTGTGGGGACCACAGAAATCATGGGCAAGCTACAGTGTGGGTGTTTGTAGCTGAAACCCTGAGGCACCACCCCAAGACCAAAGCAAGAGCCCGAGAGTCCTTCCATGAGCAGCTGGCGTTCCTCTGCAGCTGCCTGCCCACGCCACGGCAGTTACCAGGGCCAGCTGCTGTTCTGACCCAGGGGACGCCCTGTGTGAGCCCTCTTGGGGGTCTTTGTGGGAAGGAAAAAAAGGTGTTCCTTCTTTAAGAGACTTTTCTTTGAATTCTGGCAGCTTGGTATAACAAACACACTGTCTGTGCTCCCCAGGATGTTCATGGTGGCTCCCTCAGTGGGGCTCCTCTAGGCATCGCCAGCTGCCCTACTCTGTGCTCGCCTCACATGAGCCAATTCTGTACTCTCTGTGTCAGCCAGGCTTGGTGGCCTCTGGTGGCTGGGGGCCTTCTGTGGACCAGCACTGCGGACTCCAGTGCCCTCAACAAGAAGGCCGGGGCCTCTCAGGGTGATGGAGAAAACAGCTCCACATTCGTTACAGGAACAGGGGAAATTTTCCCTATAAAAACGTATGTTTCTAAATCTTTTTTTTTTTTTTTTCTTTTTTAAGAATTAGAGAATCAGAGAACACCTGCATGTGAGCAAGCTGGGGAACGGAAGTGGGGAGGGGAGAGGCAGAGGAAGAGGCAGAGCCTTCAAGAATCTCAAGAAAGCTCCACACTGGGCGGGGCTCCACCTCACCACTCTCCGAAATCCAGTCAGATGCTCAACCGGCTGAGCCGCCCAAGCGCCCCCAGAAAGTTTGACCACTGGAATACTGGATTAAATACTACTTATCATTCATTGAGAGAAGCTGTGAAGCGAAACGGGGAGCCTGCTCGTTTCCACATTCCACCCTGCTTGACCCGAACACTGTCCTGTTCCCACATGTGTCCGGGCTTCCCTCCTCCATGGGGTACAGACCTCCCCTCCTGCCTGCGGCTTCACAGAGGAGGGCTAGGCCTCCCAGGCTCTCTGAGACATGCCAAGGGAACAGAGCAGTCAGGCGCCCCAGGAAAGACTTCAGGAGCACTCGGGGAACGGGGACAGAGAGCAAGAGGAACGGAATCCCGATGTCAGGTTTTTCTGCTGATAAAGGCCAAAACCTACTCCTGGAGCAGAAGGGCAGCCCAGAGGCAGGAAGCACAGGAGGCAGCAGGCCCAGCAGAAGCCCTCGGGGTGGGGTGGTGGGGAGTGGGTGTGAGGGTGGGGGGCTGTGCAAGCCTGGGGAGTCCCCTGCCTCAGAAGCTTCAGAGAGGGTGAGGGGGTGATTCTGGTGGTCGGAACTGAATGTGTTCACTGTCTCAGAGAAAACAGGCAGCAGAGGGGGAGGGGCGAGAGCAAGGCTAGAAGGGTGGGATGGAGGGGCCCACTGCGGGGCTTCCCTCGGAGGCAGGGCTCCCCCTACTCAGAGTGAGTGAGAAGAAGTGTGAGGTAAGACGTGCTCCTGACACAAGAGGAACGAACAGAAGCCTACGAAATCCTGCCGTCAGCACGAGGCCTGAGTGTATGTGTGGGTGGGTGGGGTGTGCGTGTGCAGGGCCGGAGGCGGAGGAGGGCAGACTGCACCTGGTCTTCTAGTAATGCCATTATGGGCAATTGTAATTTTCTTCTTTAAACTTCTCTAGATCTTCTAAATTTTCAGTAATGATTATGTGTTACTTTTAGAATTGGAAAAAAGCCATAAATACTCCTTGAAATTACATTCTTCGGTGAGTTATTTTCCTTTCTTGCCCAGAAACGTCTGTGTGCATCCATTTCTGGGCGCATGTGGAGGGATGTGGAGTTCCGGGAAGAGTTCTGCACTAAGGGACTGACGGAGGGGAGCTCTGGCCCTCTGGATGTGCTGCCCGTGGGGGCCTGGCCTCCGCTCACAGCACCTTGTGGTCCAGGAAAGAAGGGAAGCCCTGCACATCCCCACGGCCCTGGGGGGCGCAGTGAAACAGAGCAGGTGTCACTGTGGGCAGTGTGGCAGGCCGTGTGCCTGGGCAGTGGGCCTAGGGTACCCTCCCAATGAGGGTGGACGTAGGCTTTGAGAACCAAGTGGGGGAGCAGCAGGGAAAGCCTGACACCAAGCCTGGGAAGGGCCGAAGGAGGTAGAAGCGCGTGGTTGGAGGGGCAGTCACTGGGCCAAGTCAGGGGATCTGGGCTCAGTCTAAGCTCTATGGTCGCCTCCAGGGTGACCTTGCCAGGCCCATCATGGGCAAAAAGAAAGGTTGGCATTATGTGGTTGATAGGCAGGGAGATTCTCCTAAGACAGGCTGGAGGGAAGCTGTGAAGGCCATGGAGAATGCCTGGGGCAGAATAAAGAAGAAAAAAGAATCTTAGCTGTGAGCTTACGCCATGCTTGACTATGATGGGAGGATATTTTATTATGTGGCAGCAATATGCAAGGTGAATTGGACAAAGAAGTCATGATGTAAAGCATTATTGTTAATAATCCATAATTCTCATGCAAAATTGTGGGACTAGTAATTCCAGCTGCTGGTTGCTAGTCAGGATGACCCACAAACATTTCTTGCCATTGAAAGACCACTGACTTTTGTGCAAAGCATGTACCAGGCACCAGGGTTAGGGTTGTCATATCATATCATATCATATCATATCATATAATAAATACTATAGCCTAATAAAATATTCTGAAAGGAAAGTTCATTGGCTGCCCTAGATAAGTGAATCATCACTAAAATGCTAGTGATGCACACAGCCCTTTTAGGGGACCCAAAGGAAGAAGAATTTGCCGGAAAGATCTAGGAGAGCATGGAATAAGAGATAGAAGATGAGAAATGTTTCCACCTCCTCATGAGATCTGACTGGCCATTCTAGAGCCCAAAATACCATTCCAGGACATCGATCTGATAACCTTAGGCCGCAGGGTCTTGGTTTGTACCTGTAGTAGCTTTTAAATGGCCAACACCTGTGGTATCAGTTGCAGAGGGGGTGCAGCCTGTCTGTGACTGTTGTTATATACAGACAGGGTCCGCGGCCTGCCGTGGGAACCTGGAACACTGCATTAGCCCCACCACTGCCAGGCCCCCTCCGGGTGGCTGCGTTGTCTGGGGTGGGCCATGTGCCCTGCAGGGGCAGGCTCTGACCTCAGTGTACCGCTCCAGCTCCCATCAGCTCTCCAGGGAATGGGAGCCACTTGGAAAATAAGAGAGGGAGGGAGGGATGTAGTTAATGGGAGATGCAAGGAAGCATGCTCTTCTTCCTTTTTTTTTTGTACCTCGATGAAAATGTTGATTATTTTCTATCCTTTTTAAAAAAGATCTATCTATCTATCTAGAACACGTAAGTAGTGGGGAGGGGCAGAGGGGGACCGAGAGAAAGAATCATGAGCGGGCTCGTGCCGAGTGCAGAGCCTGATGTGGGGCTCGAGCTCATGACCCTGAGATCATGACCTGAACCCAAACCAAGAGTCGGCCGCTCCACCAACCGAGCTACACGGGTGCCCCCCAAATTTTGTGATTTTTATACCAAAGCAGAACAAGCAGAACCATAGCTTATGTTTCGCTGTTTATAGAGCCGATTTCCTATAAATCTGACAGTGCCTCTATTTCCGCTGCACGGTCTCCTTTCGCCTTTCTCGAACCACCATTAATGGTGAGGTCAGTAACTACAATTGCAGTAATTATTCTCACTCTGAGGCCCTGTGTCAGGCCTTTTGGGCGTTTGACCTCAGGGCCTTCCTCTCTAACAAGCGAGGAGTCAGAAGAACAGAAAGGGAGGCTGACTTGCTTGGGGACACACAGCCCACCAGTGGCCAGAGTAGCCGCAGGACTCAGCTGTCCTGACACACACAGTTCAGGAAGCTTTGTGATGTCCTTTAGTATGCCAAGATATGTTTTAATTTATAAATGAATGCGTGGAGCAAAATTAAAGGATGGTTTGTTGGAGTGACATCCTTCATCTCCGTGGGCACTAGCCTTCAGTGTATCTACAAGGGCGGGGGAATTCAGATGTCCTTTTCAGAGACTTTATATGACAAAGTCAGATCTGGGCATAACTTCAGGTAAGCCAGGATATCTGCCTTTCTCAGGAGGGTGAAATGGTCACTCTCCAGCCTTTGGGGCCTTTGGAAGCAAATGATGTGTTGGGATCGTCTGGGACATCAGGTTGAGGAGAAGCGGGCCACTGCTCTTGCTCTTTGTGACAGCAGGAGGACGGATGGGGAACCGGCTGACACCTGATGGTGACAACCAGTCTCCCCAGCATCAAAGCCTCAAACGAGCACTAAGCTCCAGGCTTTCCCCAGAGTCTCTGGAAACTCTGCCAGCTGGTGGTGCCAGAGTCATGATAACAGGGGGAGGGGTGGTATTGGAGGCTGGCTTGGTGGCAGGAATCTGGGAACTGAAGCTTGGCCCCTGCAAGGGGGTTAAGCAGAATTCATGAAGGCCGAGGGGAACTGAGGCAAAAGAAGGGACACTAATGCTGGATGACGGGAAGTCAGAAAGAAGCCAGACCAGCAGTTAAAAGCAATGCACTAACAGAAAAAACTCACATCGGTTACCTGGGAAAGACGATGAGGAAATGAAGGATGTTGCAAAAATATCTGAGTTCCCCACCGAATTACTCTATTCAATCAGTCTTTAATGAGGCCGCTGCAAGGAGGCAGAATGGACGGGCAGAAGTAATGATGGCCGTGTGGGTACTACTCTTGCTAAGAGGCTGTGCTGACAGCCGAGCCGGGATCAATCAGCAAGTGAGGATTACATGTCTTCTGTTATTAAGGACTCAGCTAATGAATTTACCAGACCTCTGGCAATTATTCGGAAAGTAGGGGAATTAGGAAAGTGATGCATGGACGAGGTTACTGATCTTTAAAGCCAAAGTTAAAGGGATCCAGGGAACTGTGAGCTACCGTTAACCGTCTGAGCAGTGAACAGAGTTTTCACATGCTGATCGCCAGGTTAGAACCTAGCTTGAAATGATGCAAAATGTTGGGATGTGATTTAATCATCAGCTGTAGCCCAGAGGAAGGCCATTGTTAAGCATCCGGATCGGGCCCAAAACTGACAGGTTCACTCGAGGCAAGTGTCAGTTTTCTGAGTCTATGTGTATCTGTGGGACAGTTCCACTGAGTAACAGTGTTCCCATACTCAAGAAAGACAGGCAACGTTAAAAACAAAAAATGAAAACAACTCAACAACCCCAAAGTCAGGTGAGCAAACTCCAAACTGCATGTTCTCACTTAACCCTAGCACTGCCAGCAGGCACTACAGTCCCCATGTACAGATGGGAAAACTGAGACTCTGAGAAGTTAGTGCCTTTCCGGAAGGAACGCAATTAACAAGTGGTAAATTGAGGACTGGAAATTAAGGACAGGGGAGCTGAGGACAGCGAACGTCTTTCTGACTTTCAGTCTGGCACCCCTCAGCACCATGCTTGGAAGACTTATAACTGGATAAAGAAGGATGTATCCTATGACTGAAAAATCTTATGCCTGAAAAATCAAGTTGGCCAGCTAAGATGAAAATTACACTTTGAAAGGTGCCAGGCACAAATAGAGCTGAAAACAGACTGAGGGTTAGTCCATGATTTAAAATGAGAGGGAGGCCCATTTCATACAAATCTGCTATGAATATCTTGTCATTTCTGGTCATCCTGGGCCTATGGTGTGTAGGATTCTGAGCTGGGTATTCACAGGGGTAGCAGAAACAAAGAGAGGGCGGCTGAAGACACATAAAAGACCTATTAGCCCCACAAGACAGGTAAGGAAAAATGAGCACAGGTAACAAGTATATGATAGAACAGAGTCTGGGAAGGAATGTGACAAAATGTTAAGTGTTATCTCTAAGTGGTCAGAGTGACCTAATTTTCTTCTTTTTGCTCCTGTGCCTTTTATAAATCATCTATAATTAATAAGTTTTTTTTTTTTAAATTTTGGAAAAGTTACTAAATAAAAGCATATGGCAAGCCCAGAGCCCGTGTGTATGGTGTGTTGATGACATCAAGGGAGGGGACAATGTGGGGGTGGGGTGGGGGGGTGTTTGACCATCCAGGAGTGGGGCTGGAAGGAGCATTAGTGGAGTGAGCTTGAGGACACAGAAGTGCAGACAGTGTCTCAGGGTGCAGGGCTGGAAGGGAGCCAGAGGTCGGATTTTGGAGGACTTTATAGGACAGTGTGAGCCTATTGTGGGTCCTGTTCAGGAACCCAGGGCCTAGGGAGTCTGGGCAGATGGCCACTGAGGATCCCGTTTCCTGGAGAGGCCCCCAGGCACGTTGGGGTGCCCAGGGCCTGGAGCCAGGGTAGGAATGGGAGGGGTGGGAAGGAGAGCCCGCTCTGGTGGAGTGGATGGTCTGCGGAGGGGCTGGCATCCACAGGGGCCTGACCTGTCCTGGTTGCCTCTGGGACAGTGGTGTCAGGGGTGGGGCGTGGAGGTGGGGGACACGAAGAGCACGTGGTGTGGGGAGGTGGGAGAGCCCAACAACAGGGCGGGGGGGGAGGGGTAGAGGGTTAGGCCAGGAAAGAGCTGCATGTCTGCAGGAGCAGGACGTCTTGGGCTGTCTGCGTCAACATGTACACACATCCCCGACACGTCACAACTGCCCACCTGTGGACCCCTGAGTGTCTGTTGCTGCACTTGGTTTGACGAATCTGCACCTGAGTCCTGGTGGGCTGACATGGGTGCCTGCGAAGGCCCACTACCAGAGGCCTGCGGACATGGTGGGCGGAGCCTATCCATTTCCCCGGGGAAGAGGCTCTTCAGCGGCCTCCTGGGCTCCCTGACTGTTTCCCGAGGAACCCAGGAACCCAGCAGACCTTGGAGGGTGGGCACGGGAAGCTGTGAGGTCAGCGGGGCTCCACCAGCCTGGAGTCTTTCTGGAGGTCACCTAGAACCATCAATGGTGCCTCTGCACACAAGTGGTTTCCTTAGCTGCTGTTACCCACTCGGGGGCCTGGCCAGGAGCTCATTCCCAGAGCAATGAAAATGGAGCCCAAAGCCTCCAAGAGAAAAGCTTAACTTCCTACTTATTCAGCTCCTCTAGCTGACAAATCCTTTCAGGTAGGAGATCATCTGTTTCCCCCGAGAGAGGGACCCCGTGCCAGCCTGAGGACAGGCTTTCACTGTCCCCTTGGCGTCAGCAGCCACTGTCCCACTGCTCCCAGACCTGCCATTCTTCTAACCTTCAGCCAAGCAGAGATCAGAGAAGGTGGAAAAGGGGACTTTTATAACCAAATTATCTCTGCGCTTTCATCTGCCGTTATGCTAATGCATCGCGAAACCCGGCAGATGGTACAAAGTCAATTATGCTGGTGTTAAAGAGGGAGAAATTGACCTTTTCAGGACTCACTTGGATTCCGGAGCAGAGTTTGCAAACTCCGTTTTCAGGCCTGGCATGTGGGCCTTGAAGGTACGTGAGGCGCTTTGGAAAGGGAGAAGGGAGGGAGGGGTCGCAGTGGTCAGCCCGGAACTGCCTGCCTTCCGTGGGACCCCGCTTGTACCTGCACATTTTCTCAAAGAGTCCAGCGTAGCCGTCACAGTTGGTCTTCTGGGTCCGCAGGATGTCTGTGGGCTTGAAGGCCTGGCGGTCCTTCTCCTGGGTGGCCTCGACGTCATACTCTGGAGGGCAGAGAAGGCTGTGAGTAAGCAGGTCCTGGGAGGCAACCAGGGGTGGGTGCCCGTGGCCTGTGACACTGTCCCCACCCTCTGCTGGCTTTTCAGCACCATTTGGACTGGCCTCCCTCAGGTCCCGGAGAAACCAGCGCAGGCTGAAGGGAACCAGGCCCAGCCAGGGCAAGCTCTGGGAAATGTCACCTCCTTGTGCAGGTGACAAGCTCTGGGAAATGTCATCTCCTTGTGCAGGTGGCAAGCGGGAGAGCGAAGCATCGGCAGAGCAGGCTGCCTGGCTCGTTAGGCCTCTGCGGAGAGGCTGGAAGGGAAGGGGGCCAAGACAGCACCAGGGGGTGAGGCCCTTTTCCTCTGCCCTTGTCCTCCCCACCACACAGCTCCGTAAGCAGTTCCTGGGAGGCTGCTCACCACCGTGCTGCAGCTGCTACCCCAAGGTCTCATGCTGACCCACAGGGGGCGCTCTGAGCTACTGCTAAACGGGGCTGCTGGGTAGTGAAGGCCTGGCAGGAGGCCCTGAGGCAGGAATCACTGTGGCCGCTGAGGGCATGAAGGGAACGTGTGTGAGGGTGGCAGGCAGGAAATGTGTGTCTTACTAATGTTCTGTTTCTGATTCTGTCTCCTTAAGGCCCAGGCTGAACGGAGCTGCTGGCTTTGGGGAGGGAGGAAGTGGCCTCTCAGGCTCTGTGGTCAGATACCCTACCTGTGTCAGGTGAGTTCATCCTCTAAGCTGCATCCCTCACTGCTGCTCTGGGAGGACAAAGGAAAAGCCCAGTGGGAGCAGATCAGGAGAGCCCCTCGCTGGTTAGAAGGTCATAAGGAAGATGCTAGAAGTCCACCGCACCACCTGGCTCTTCCACTGACTGCAAGAGGCAGCATCCAACATCCAACATCCCCCTAGCAGCCCCTGTGGGGCCTGGCTTGACCTGGCCAGACTCTCAAGGCTGTCCTGTGCAGAGCTGGGGACAGGTGCATAGGCCCAGGCCCAGGCCCAGGCCCCCTGAGGTTGTTCTGAGTGCCTAGAGATGGGGCTGAGGTTGTGGGTGTGGGAACAGGGAGAGGGAGGGGCCAGCCCACTCTTTCTGGCACTGGTGCTTTAAGGAACCCTGGTGTTGCAATAACTTTCCAACATCTATGAACCTTCCCTGTCCTTCTTGGGGATGACCTTCTGTCCTGGGTTCTCAGGTCTGTGCTGCAGGTTTACCAGGGAGCCAGGACTGAGGGAATGCTGCCCCTGGGTAAAAGGCCTTAGCTCTGGTCACTGGCTGTGGGCAGATGGCCACGGGGGATCCCCCACCCCATGACCCTTTATGGAGACTGTTAGTACAAGGCATGTTTTACCCTCCTTGGTTAGTCTTTGGTAATTCAACCTAGCCATCTGGGAACGCTTCTCCTCTACTGTCCGTCTCACGCCATACACACTTGTGGTCAAGTGAATCCCAGTCTCCCCTAGGAACAGGGTCCTTCAGGGAGTGGTATCAAGGGAGTCCTAGAGCGAGCGGCACCACAGGTGGGCCTACCTATGTGGTGGCAGATCCAGATCCAGATCACTCGGACCCTCTCCAGGTCACTGTGGGCCTCCTGGAGCAGGTCGCTCACCAGCTCGTCCAGGCCACTCTTGACCGTCACCTGGGGGGTGGGAGGGGTGGGCTATGTTAGGGCCTGGATGAGGGCTGTGGGAGCCCCAGTGCCTTGCTACTGGCAGCCGGTGCTGCTTTTCCTCCAGGCAGAGAAGGAGGAGGAGAGGGCCAGAGGCACAAGGGCTCGGCTGAGGGCAGCCTTTGGTTGGGGGGCTGGACAGATCAGGGAGTGCTGACCAGCTGAGTCACTGGCCCTAGAGCCACACACCCTTTCTTGGCAGACCCTTGGAGCCATCCAGGTGGGTGGACATTGGGCAGCTGTAGCAGCTCCTACCCATATTCAGTACTACCCAAAGTGATCTATGGACTTAACACAATCCCTACAAAATTCCAACAACCTTTTTTTTTGCAGAAATGGAAAAACCAATCCTCAGCTTCATATGAAATGGCAAGGGGCCCAGAATAGCCAAAACAATTTTGAAAAAATAAGAACAAAGTTGGAGGACTCACAATTCTGGATTTCAAAACCTACTATAAAACTATAGTAATCAAAATAGTGTGGTACTCACATAAGGATCATATAGGTGAGTGGAATAGAATTGAGAGTCAAAAAATTAGCTTATACCCCTATGACTAACTGACTTTTTTGTCAAGGAAACAAGTCTATTCAGTGGGGAGAGAATAGTCTCTAACAAATGGTGCTAGACAACTGGATATACACCTACAAAAGAATGAAGTAGGACCCCTACCTCATACCATATACATAAATTAACTTGGGGCGCCTGGGTGACTCAGTCAGTTAAGCAGTCAACTCTTGGTTTTGGCTCAGGTCATGATCTCAGGGTTGTGGGACTGAGCTCTGTGTCGGGCTCTGGGCTCAGTAGGGAGTTTGCTTGAAATTCTTTCTCTCTCTCCCTAAATACATAAAGAGATCTTTTAAAAAAGTTAACTCAAAAAGGATCAATGGCTTAAATAAAAGAACAAACATGATAAAACTCTTTGAAGTAAACACAGGAATAAATAACCATGACCTTGGATTTGGCAACAGATTCTTTGATAGAATGCTACAAGCACGAGTTACAAAAGAAAAAACAGATTTATTGGGCCTCATAACAATAAAAAACTTCTGGGCATCAAAGAACATGACTGAGAAAGTGAAAAGACAACTTATGGAATGGGAGAAAATAGTCACAAATCACATTTCTGATAAGGGATTAATATCCAAAATATATAAAGAACTCCTACAACTCAACTCTTGTAAGGGATTAATATCCAGAATATATAAAGAACTCCCGCAACTCAAAAAGACAAAACAACCCAATTTTAAAATGGATGAAGGATTTGAATATACACTTCTTCAGAGATATATAAATGGCCCATGAAAAGCTTCTCACATCATTAGGGAGATGTAAATCGAAACCACAGGACGCCACTTCACACCCACTAGGAGGGCTATAGTAAAAAAGATAGTAAGGATGTGGAGAAATTAGAACCCTTGTGCCCCGTGAGTGGAAATGTAAAATGGTGCAGGTGTTGTGGAAAACAGTTTGGTGGTTCCTCAAACAGCTGAGCAGGATTATCATATGATTGGTAATTCCACTCCTAGGTATATACCCAAGAGAACTGAAGAGAGCGAGACAGACACTTGTTCACCTATGTTCATTGCAACATCATTCACAATACACAGAAGACAGAAACAATGCAAGTGTCCATCACAATGAACGGGTAAACACATGAAGTATATCTCTACAATGAAATATTATTTATCCATGAAAAGCAATGAAGTTCTCACACATGCTACAACACGAGTGAACCTTGAAAACGTGAGGCTATACAAGCCAGACACAAAAGGACAGGTACTGGGTGATTCCACTTATGTGGAATATCGAGAGTAAACAAGTTCAGAGAGACAGCGAGTAATCCAGTTACCAGGGAGAACAGAGAGTGACAGTTTCATGGGTATAGAGTTGTTTGGGGTGATGGTTGTACAATATCATGAAGGCAGTCAGTGCCACTGAGTTTCACACCAAAAAATGGTTAATGTGGCAAATTTTAAATCATATGTATTTTACCACAATTAAAATAAAGAACATATGAGGTTTTCTTGCAGGGGCCCTCGGGAGGAAAAATGGCTGGGGTTGTAGGCAAGGCAGCCTTGACTACGTTTAATCTTTCTAGAGAAGCTGGGGCAACTGGGTGCTTAATTCTTGCCTGCGCCTCGGCCAGCCCCCACCCTACGGTACTCCCTGAGCTCCTGGATCCTTTCCACCACTCACCTCAGCACTCCAGGATGTACTGTCTGACCACAAGGAGAACTCGACCCCGCTTCTGCCTCCCACCCACCCAGCTGCTGTCTGCCTCCTTTTGTTCAATGTCTAGCTCCAACCCCACAGTTCTTGTCTTTGTGCCTTTCTCAGGGCCAAGGACAGCGCCTGACACATCGCAGGGCCCACACTCCAGCCTGGGTGACTCCCGACTTAACCTCCTGGCTTCTGGGCCATTGGTCCTTACCTCCCGGCTCTACCAGAGCCTGGCAGGCTCTGGATACCCACTGCTTTGTGGCTGGGTCTCTGGCCTCAGCTGGGCTCCCAGCACTGCTCTCCAAGCTTGGCCAGCAGCCTGTCCTGTCCCTTGTGGCTGCCATTACAACACATCCCACCCTCATCAGACGCTGACATACCACCCTTCTCTCCCTCTGAGACAACCTGGCCTCAGACTCAACAAGACTCAGGCAGGATTTCCCCTCAATGAACCTCCTCCCGTGCAGCCAGCCTGTCAACCTTCGGTCTGGGCCTCTTGTCTTTGCAGGCCTTACTCTTATCAGGCAGTGCCCCTGCTCACCTGTGTCCTCACCTCCTCCCTTCCAGTCCTGGCTGCCCTATCCCCTCCTGTCTGCATCCCCTCCCCAGATCTCCTTCTTAGGGCTACCTACATCTCACCTCCCTTTCTCTGCCAGGTTCCTGTGGGGTCTTCTCTCCACTCCCTCCTCCTTCACCCCTGCTTTGCTCCTCAGCCTGGCTGAGTCTGGCTGAGGATCTGACCCTCCTCTCAACTCCCCCTCTGGGAATAGGAAGTGCTTCAATGAGAAAGTAGTGGAAATGAGTCTATCCTGACCTCACTGGACCAGACTGAACGGCTCATGCTCTTGACCATCCTTGACCTCAGGGAGCTCTCCTTGTACCTTCGAGAACATTGATCCTTCCTGGTCTTGCCTTGGTCTCAGGTGGCTCAGGGCCCTTTCGGACCTCGTACCCTGTCCTCCCCAAGATGACACCCACCCATGGCTTCAGCTCTTAGCTCAATCTGTTGGTTCCTGGATCAGTGTTTCCTGCCCAGATCTCTTCAGGCTGGAGAAGGCTCCGGGCTTGGAGACAGGCTGCCCAGTGGTCACTTCCCATGCTGTTCCCCAGGTACTAAAGCCCACTGCCCCGAAACAAACTCGTCACCCCGACCCTTGCTCCCTGTATCGAGGAGCTATCCCACCCTCCCTCCATCCCTCAGTCCAGCAGCCTGTGAGCCCCCTGCCTTCCACCTCCCTCACATACACCGGGATGCCATCCTCCCTTCGCCTCCAGCTCAGTGCTGACCTTTCCACTCCTCTCTGCTCTCATTTTTCCCACTTAATCCACATTACACCTGCTCCTTCTGGGACAGCGGACCGCCCCCTGCTGATGGTCCTGCCTCAAATCTGACTCTGCATTCAGGTCCCTATCCATCCACTCATCAATTCACCAAACTAGCTTCCTGAGCACCTACTAGGTGCCAACCACAGGGTGGTCTTTTTAGACTATAGATGACCTCCCTGCTTACCAGCCTATGATGACTCAACTTTGGCAGTGGGCCCAGCTTTGTGGCCCTTCCAATCAGACATGCCTGCAGGGTGTGCACCCTGGGTGGGGGGTACGTCAAGACCCCATGGGCAGCACTGGGGGGATGGAATGGGCTTCTGTCCTGGGCAGGGGTCTGGTGCCTTGGCCTTCTTTTCCCCATCCGTATGATCTGAATAAGCACTTTAGGCCATCTGCCCAAGGGACTGCAGGTGCACTCAGAAGGGACCCGAAGAAAGGCTTCATTACCCTGACTCGGGAATCGCCAAGCCACCTTACACAGAGGGGTTTGTTCCCTTACCTGTGAGGCATAGGTGTCCAGTTTCTCAAACTGCCGCAGGTCCAGGGGCATGGATTTCAGGCTGGACCGATCCCAGGGGTAGGCTGCAAACGCAGGAAGGCTTGGTCAGCTACTGAGGCCTGCTGACAAGGGTGGCCTGGCCCAGGCCTTTCTGTCTTTTTGAGGAGCTGGGATTTCCCGACCTTCAACATGCTTCCCAGAGCCTGACACACTGCTCCCAACGGGCTAGATCTCCTGGAAGAGTTCTTTAGTCAAATTGGCTTGTGAACAATGGCAACTCCTCCAGTTCTTCTGGAGACTCACAGGGGATCTAAGCCTATTTGCAGACCCCGGGAAGTCCGCTGTAAAGAAACTGGTTTCCCCTCAATGAACTCAGCAGTGTTCAGATATATTAATGATGGAACCCCCTTCTCCCCATCATACAGTTTTCTGCAGATTTCCTGCTAACTGTTCCAGGAAAGTGTGCTTCGTGGGAAGCGTCCAGGAATGCTGCCAGTCCCTGGTGGGCTCAAGGAGGGAGGGTCTATGCCATAGCCACGGCGCCCAGGGTGGAAGGCACCCTGGGTATCGAAGGAGGGTGTGCTAACACCAGGCCATGCAATCTTCTGTGGGTTTGGCACCCAGACAAGCTTCCTCCCAAGCCCATAGACAGCTGGAGACTGGAAGACCCCAGGAAAGCCAAGTGTGTGCTAGTGACGTGCACCCCAAGTGCTGTGGGCAGGCTTCAGAGGGAGGCTGGGCCCCAGAATCACTCATCTGTGCTTGCCTTTCACATAGGAAGCCAGGACACAGCACAGCCCCAGTCAGCTGCTGCAGGGCTAACTGACCGGTGGTCAGAACAGCCATGAATGGGCAGCAAACTCCTGTCTCAGGCTGACAGGGAGCCTGGGCTCTGGCAGGGTCCCTCTTATTCAGGGTTTCCTTATTCAAAAGGCCGACCAAAGCAGGCAAGGTGGGTGGGAGGCCAGGGTGTAGGTGAGGACAATGGGTCCAAAGGGTCACTCATCCCGGAACTCGCTGATAACCCAACTCCCCTGGGATGGGTGCTCCTGGGTCCCCAGGGGATGGCAGCCAGCTTGGAAACCACAGAGCAACATGGGAAAGTGTCCGCTGGGGGCTGCATGAAGCCTTGGTTCTCGCAGGGGCCTGATCTTCAGGACCTCCCCCTCCCTGGGGGCTGCTGGACTCAGCCACCGTGCTGTAGCACACATCTGTGGGGCCCCCGGGAGAGTGAAGGAGATGGTGGATTGCGTTGTAAGGTCAGTGGCACTCTGTTCTCTGGGAGGGTGTGGGCTGGGAGTCCCCTGTGGGCAAACACAGGAGAGAAGGTATAAAGCCTCGGTGCCCGCTGAGGGGGCTATGACTGCCTCTGCCTGTGCATCCCTCAAGGTCTGTGAGAGACCCATGCCTTGGTGCCACAGGCCAAAGACATGGGGTGAGGGAGTGGGAGGAGCTCCTGCACAACCCTCCTGGGCCAGCATCAGCTGAGGGGAGTGGCAGCTGGTTAGGGAGCTGGCCAACTTCCAGCCACAGAGGAGCTCTCAAACTCCAGTCAGCTGTCTGAGCAGGCCATGTGGGTCCGCCCGCACTTCCCCACTGCTGCAAGGTCCCTTCCTGTTAAGAACCGGGCCTTCCTTCCTCACAACCCCATTAGCTCCGGTACATTCCCCAAGGCTGCTTTGCACTGCATTCTTGCTTCTTGCTGACTTCCTCAGCGGCCCCTAGAGGGGTTTGGTCTCTTTGACCCCAAGCCTCTGAGTGGGTCCTTACCACCTCACGGGCTCAGACACAACCAGAATCTGAGGGCTGTTCCTCTCCCAAGAGGGGGCACAGCGTGCTGGGGGCGGGCAGGCAGGCTGTGTAAACCAGACCCTGAGGCTGTCTGTGGTGGTCACTCACCAACCCAGCATTTTCTTTCTTTGTTTTTCTATTCCTTCTAAAAGGGCCAAGACATTTCCTGGACCCTTTCCAAATCTTCTGCCCAGTACACTCTTACCCTGGGGCTCCCTGGAGGCCCAGCACCATTGTGGCTCACATCTCTGATTCTGGAGCTGGGATCTCTTGTCTCTTATTACTTAGATCACTGTCAGTCCCTATCCTGTGTGGTGTGAGCACAGCCCTTGTCCAGCCACTTCCAAGGGAGGAGTTAGGGACCGGCAGCAGGCTCTCAGTACCTTCTCCCTCCACAGAATCTGGCTCCTGCCACTCTCTGACAAGGGCTAGCAGGCTGACCTAAGTGGATATGAAGTGGACTTACATTTAACAAATTTCTGCTCAGCACAACTCTGCAAATGAGGTCTCCCCCGCCCCCACTGAAAAGAAGGATGACATTTCTAAAATAGGACTCAAAACCCTATTACTAATTTTACCCTTTCTTGGTTCCATTTTACAATATCTGAACATTAAAAATACCCACAATGATTTATGCCTCATTAAATTTACCTTCTGAAGAGATTACATAAGCTCTAAATATGATTTTGCATAAATACATTTAAAATACCAGTGGCATTAACTGAATTATTCTAATTTTAAAGCAAAACAATGGGAAGAAGTGCCAAACTCTGCCAAACCTTAGACGTCATCTGGTCTACTGAGAGGAAAACTGAGGCCCACAGAAGGTGAGTGAGGGACAAAAATAGAATTAGAAGACAGGCCATCTATCATCCCATTCAGGGTTTTACCCTCTGTCCCATTCTGTGTATTCACATGCCTCCTACCTTACAGATGCTTGGCATTCCATTTAAAGTTAACACAGCTCTGAATTCTGTTTTTAATATGTTTTCTGTAATGGGTTGCCTTGTTATTGGGGTTTACGCTTCAGCTTTGGGGTCACATGGTGTATGAGCTTCTCATTACCCTGCCTGTGTCCATGGCAGACATTGTTAATCAATCATGATCCTCATCCCCATCCTGAGCCCAGGGGTGGCCCCCAACTCTCACACAGATTGGCCTACGAGGCTAAACCAATTCACCATCCCACAGAATGGCCCTGGAGCAGGCGTTGCAACTCACCGTGGGCATCTTTCGTTCCAGGCTGCCGGGGTCTTGTGTTTCCATTTTTATCACTTTGTAAACCTGCAATATCCCAAAGGTCAGAAGTGGAGATGCTTCAAGAGAAATCCAAATGCAAGCACAGACAATAGTCTAGGTGGTGGTCCTGGCTTCTGACCCCTCTTTCTCACTGTCTTCCCCCCGCCTTCTTGCTCCCATATCACCCACCATCTATTACTGCTGGAATGACTCTGGACTTCCTCCTGTGGTTGAGGAAGCACTGGGAACCAGGGAGGGAATGGCAAGAGAGAGAACGGTGGTCTGTGAGCAAAGGCAGGATTTACTCTGACATCAACACTTAGTGTTCCTCTGTGAGTCTGCCTGGATCCTGGAGCTCCCGCCTTGCTCTGGAGTCCCCTGCCATCTTGGAATGCATCTGGGGTTGCTAAGATCACCAGTGCATTCATTGCCAGATAAGAGCTGACCAAGGGAAGAAATGAATGTGGGGCAAGGGAAAGGCAGTTCCTACGGAGTTGAAACCCAGAAAGGTCAAGCAATCATTAAATGATTCCTCAGGAAGGTTCAAGGCAACCAAATCCTATTAATCCTGGACTGTTCACACAGAATGGTTGCCAAGGGTTATTAGACTCCTCCAGGAGAGGGGCTGCTGCTTTGAAACCAGGTCAGGAAGATGTGGGTCCCTGATGGAACCAGGAGGAGGTGGGGAGTAGGGTGTCAAGGTGAGCTGTTTTACATACCTTGAAACCCACCAAAGGTTGTAAATACAACAATGGAAGGTTGCAAATGAATAGAGGCACAGAGAAACAGTGGTCCTTGTGTTTCTTACATCTATATTTTATTTCCATCTCCATTCTTTGGTAGAGTGATTAGGGTTCAACAAGAAGCTAGCGTTTCTTGTGCACTTCCCATGCCTGCCTTGTGCTTTAGACTATCTCATTTAACTTCACAACAGTCCTATGAAGGAAGGTGAATTATTTCCCTCCTTCCATAGATGAGGAATTTGATTCCAAAAGGAAAGTTAAGCTACTTGTCCAAGGTGAGAGCAGAGATCTGAGCCCAGCCAGTTGACTCCAGGGCCTGTCTGCTCTACACCTGACTGCCTTTCTGAGACCCTGACCACCGACGGCTGTAGGAGAAGGCAGCCAGAAGGAACCTACCTTGCCCATACATGGACATGGAGAGAACCTGAGCCCTGAACCTGAGCCAGAATTTCCCTAGGCCCCTTTAGCCATAAGGTAGACAGATGTCTGGAGAGGACCAGACATCTGGAATAGACATCATGGGCCTGAGTCTATGCACCTTGCACCAAAGCCAGCCAAGCATGTGGCTAAGAGTACAGGTTTCAGGCAAACCTGGTTCTGACCCACTTCTAGCTGGTCCTTTGGGCAGGTATTTTACCTTCCTGGGCCTCACTTTGCTGTCTTATAAGGTGGGGATAATGTTGGTTTATACAAAGCACTAAAAAGTTAATGAATATAAAATCTTTACCATTGGGTCTGCCACTTTTGGGGCAGACAATAAATGGTATCTAAAAACAACACTCTTGTGATAAAATTCATCTTTAGCTAAATGCCTTGGGTTACCCACACTTAATTGCACAGACTCAAGAACAGTGGGTGTCACTTATGGAGAAAAGAGGCCCCAGAATGAACCCGTCATGCCTCTGCCTCCTTCCAGTGTGTAGACCTACGTTACTCTTCTCCTGCCCCCATAAGAGGCCTAGTTTGGGCTCTGTCCCATTAAGTGACTTTGATTCCTCCCTGCCAGCCCTCCACACACACACGCAGCCCTGTACGTACGTACGTTTAGCCAAGGAGAACTTCTTGAGCAGCTGGGGCATGGCATCTCGAGGGTGGACCTCCACAGTCAGCTGTGTCCCTGCAAAGGGCCAGGAGGTGACATTCTCAGCCGGATGTTGCCAGGAAAGGGTGCAATGTCCCGTGACAGATGTTTGAACAACAAAACACGACTGGTTTTAAGCTTTCTTCTGAATATACAAATAACTCTTGTTTAAAAAATTAAAAAAACAAAATACAAGCAGACAGTTTTCAGATCCAGGCAAGATGGAATAAGAACATTCTATCTTGTCTTTCCCACGGAATGTGACTATAAATGTCGGAAAGAATGCATGGAGCGACTATTTGCGGATTCTGTAAGGTAAATCAGAGAAGGCAAGCTGGGGAATAGGATTAGCATTTAAAGCACCACCAGATTTGCAGTGAGCTCACCATTCCCCTCCCTGTCATATTACTTAGACTGGACTCAAAGGCAACCCCAAATCCAGAAGTACACAAAGGGTAGAGAGAAGCAGTGCTCCATGAGAAGTCCTTTCTTCCAGCTTGTGGAGTAAGAAAGGAAACCTCTAAGAGTCAGAGACTGTGGGGGAAAATCCCTTGCTGTACCCCCACCCTTATTTCTGTTATTTCCTCACTCAGCCCCTAGCAAAGTCTGTTGGTAGCAGTGTAGCAGTGATTTTGTTGGTCAGACAAAACCTTAAGCACCCGAGTCTTTGAGGGAGGGCACTAGAGAAGTTATGATTCCCTAGAGTGTGGGGGCAAATACTCAATTTTTTCCTCTCTCTCTCTGTCCCCCACTGATTGTCTCTAGGTGCAGACAGAGTTGTAAGAAGTACCTGGCAGGGTGGGGAAACTGAGGTCCAGCTTTTGTGCTGGAGAACTGGGAAGTGAATTGTGAAGGGGAGGGAGCTCAAGAAAGCAAATCTATGCAGGTATGGATGAACTCTTTTGGTCACCTCTGTGTTGAACATACATGGATCTCATCCTAAGCATCATACCACAGTCTTTGGGAACTAAACTGATGGGGCAGGCCAATGCCTCGAGTGGCCACTGGGAAGTCAATGTGCAGGGCAAGTCTGCATAGCATTGCAAAGGCTGCAGTCCAAAATTACCCAGCATGGGTAGAACCAGGAGTAACTGTACTTGAAAGGAAAAGATAATCAATAGATGGTAAATCCAGGATGACACAGATTTTGGAATTATCAGACAGACTTTCAAAGAGCCATAGTAACCATGCTCTAAGAAGTGAGGGCAAATTGTCTTGAAATAAATGGAAAGACACCAAGAATCAACAAAATAAGAGAAACTATAAAGATGAAACAAATAGAAAGTTTAGAACTAAAAAATATAGTAGATTGAAAAATTATCTGGATATACAAAGTATTAATATGGAGATGACAGAGGAAAGAGTCAGTGAATTTGAAGAAAGATCAATAGAAATTATCCAATATGAACAACAGCAAGAAAAAGTGAACAAAACTTCAGGGACCTGTGGGATAAATCTTAAATGTCTAACATTCATGTTATTAAAATTTCAGAAGGAGAGAAGAAATAGTGTGGTGTAGAAAAAAAAAATGAAGAAATACTGAGATAATAATCAATGAAACCAGAAGCTGGTTCTTTGGAAAGATCAGCAAAATTAAGAACCAGATTGACCAGAAAGAAAGGGAGGTAAGACACGAATCAGGAATCAAGACACCAGGATCAGGAATGAAATATGTGAGACCCCTACTGATCACATATGTATTAAAAGAATAATAAGGAAATACTACAAACAGCCCTGTGTACATAAACTCTACAACTTAGATGAAATGGACCAATTCCTTGAAAGTAACAAACTACCAAACCTCATCTAATGAGTAGATAACCTCAGTATCCCTGTACGCATTTTAAAAACTAATTGTAGTTCAAAACCTTTGAGAAACAAATGCCAGGTCTAGTCACTGACAAATTCTAAGAAACATTTAAAAAGAAATAAGACCAATTTTTTAAATAAGATCTTTCAGAAAACAGAAGAGTAGCAAATATTTCATTACCCATTTCATGAGGCCATCATCAATCTGATGCCCAAACCAGACAAAGATAGCACAAGGAAGGAACCCTACAGCCTGATATTTCTTTTCTTTTTCTTTGTGTTTTCAGACCGATATTTCCTATGAACACAAAAATTCTCAAAAAATATTGGAAAATTACATCCAGCAATATAGCAAAAGACTAATACAGCACAATCAAGTGTGATTTATTTAGGCAATTCAAGCCTGGTTCAATATTTGAGAACCAATAAATGTAATTCACCTAATAATATTAGTAGGCCAAAGAAGAAAAACCATGTGATCATATCAATTGATGTAGAAAATGCATTTGACAAAATTTAACATTGATAAAACCTCTCAATAAACTAGGAATTGGAGGGAACTTCCTTAATCTGAAAAAGGGTATTTATGAAAAATCTATAGCTAACAGCATATTTAATAGTCAAAAATGGAATGTTTTCCGCCGAAGATTGGAAACAAAGCACGGATGTCCACTCTTACTGCTCTTAATAAATATTACACTGGAAGTTCTACCCAGTGAAATGAAGCAAACAAACAAAAAGCAATAAAAGCCCTATCAATTGGAAAGGAAAAAATAAAACTCTCCTTTTTCACATATGACACATCTATCTACATAGGAAATATCAAGTAATCTACAAAGAAATTTCCTAGAACTAATAAAGTTTAGCATGGTCACGGGATACAAGGTTAGCACCCAAAAATCGATTATATTTATATTTGCAACAAATGATAGGAAATTGGTTTAAAAAATTACTATTTACTATAGCTCCAAAAAATTGAAATGCCTAAAAAAGTTCAGGAGCTGAATGTTGAAAACTACAAAATATGATTAAAAATTAAAGAAGACATAAATAAGTGGGAGAACATACCATGTTCATGAATTGAAAACTCAATATTGTTAAATTGGCAATTCTCCCTAAATTGATCTATATAAATTTAATGCAACTTCATTCAAACTCCCTGGAGGAATTTTATATATTTTAGATTGAGGCAAAATGATTCTAAAATATAGATGGAAAGATAGAGCAACTCGAGTAGTCAAACCGATTTTGAAAAAAAAAAAAAAAAAAAGGTGGAGGACTCCAGCCAGCTGATTTTAAGATGTGTTATAAAGCTACAGTCATCAGTGTGATATTGGCAAAGGGATAGATACATAGATAAATGGAGCACAGTTAAGAAATAGAGCCATCCAAATATGGCAAATTGATTTTTTCACAGAAGTGCAAAGACATTCCAATTAGAAAATGGGTAAAAAAACAGATACTCACCAAAGAAGAGATTACAGATGGCAAATAAGCATAAGAAAAGATGTTCAACATGATTAGCCAAACAAATTAAAACCACAATGAGGTATCATACCTATTAGAAGAGCAGTAATAAGAAACAGTGATAACATACTGACAAAGTTGGAGAAATCAGATCTTACACACTGCTGGTGGGATTGTAAAGTAGCAACTCTGGAAGATGGTTTGACAGTTTCATATAAAACAAAACATACACCGAACATATGACCCAACAACTGTACTCCTGAACGTTTATCCCAGAGAAATGAACACTTACATTCACATGGAAACCTAGACAGAAACGTTACAGAAGCTCTATTCACAGTGACCCCAAACTGCAAACAACCTAAATGTCCTTCAGTGGGTAAATGGGTAAACACCCGGTCCTACATCTATATAAAGGAATACTTCTCAATAATGCAAAGAAACTCTTAGGAGAGGCAAGAGGATATAATTACGGAGATTCTGCACAAAGGAATTTTGGGGTGACAGAAGTGCCCTGTATTCTGAATATAGGGGTGGTAACATGAGCAAGCGTTATGCATGCATTAAAACCTGTTAAACTATACACAATTTGAATTTAGTAATTTAAAACAAAAAAAAATAAGTACCTACTGAACAAAAAAGCCTGAGCAGAATTAAAACAAGAATCTGGATGATACAGGAAGATACAAAATAAAGAGTGAAAGTCCAAAGCAATAGTATAGTAAACATGTTCTTCATAACCTGCTTTCTTTTCTTGACTCTTCACATGTCAGTGAATATAGTCCTACGTCATCAGTTTCAGTGGGCTGCATAGTACTCTATTCTACACAGGGTTTATAATCCACATAAGCCATCCCTTTTGGTAGGATAGTTAACTTTTCCCCAATGTTTTGTTCTTATAATCAGCGATGTCTGAACATTCTGATACACATCTCTTTACGCTCTTTTCAAATCAGTTCCTTTGAATAAATTCTTAAGTATGGATCACAGCTTATAGAGATTTTTAAGACTTTCGTTATATACTAGCAAACTTCCGGTGAATGATTTTATCATTTGAGGACCACACCCTCAGCACGAGAGGATGCCCGCTGTGTTTGCTGTATTTGATCGCAGAACTGGTCACAAAACTCTGAGAGGTCTTTCGTTCTGTTCCTTGAATGTGAGCTATCTGTCCTTACGATGTGGTTTGGCTAGTTAGCATATGATGTTAATATAAGTGATTCTGGGCAAGCTCTGAGCCTAGGTCTTAAGAAATTTTGCAGCTTCTGTCCTCATTCTTGGGATTCTAGCCACAAATGCCATGTGCATGAGCCCAGGCTGGCCTGCTGGAGGAGAGACCACGTGGAACAGAGTAGAGGCATCTCAGGTGAGGCCGCCCTACCCTACCTGGTCTCCAGCCAGCTTACCAGCTGACCACGAATACAGGAGCAAACTGGGCCAAGACCTGCGGTGAACTGGGTGTGTCTCAGGCAAGCATGCCTGGCCAACCTGTGCCCTTGTGAGCTGGTAAACGCTTACTGGTTTAAGCCGCTGAGTTTTGGGGTGATTTGTAATATAAAAATAGGTCACTGATATACTCACTGGTGTTTGATTTTTATCAATCTCGGAAATTTTTATTAATGAATAATGACATCTCATCTTTGTGTATTTAATTTTTAGTGTATTTTTCATATGTTCATTAGCCCTTTAAAATTCTTCTTTTGTGAATTGTTTATTTTCCTACTCATGTATTTTTTTTCCTTATTAATTTTGTAAGAGTT